CATGGGCACTTGGGGTTTTGATCAGGAATTGATTGCCAGTTCCAACTTCCATAAGGGTGTCTCCTGCAATTTCTAAGGTTCTTATAGTCTGAGGTTTTACATTTAGGTCTTTGATTCATTTAGAGTTGATTTTTGTGTATGGTGATAGGTAGGGTCCTGTTTCAATCTTCTGCAATTGGTCAGTCAGTTTTCCCAGCACCATTTACTGAATAGGTTCTTCTCTCCCCAATGGTTGTTGGTGGAGGCTTTGTCAAAGATGAGTTGGTTAAGAAATTGAGGTTTTGCTTCCAGAATATCTATCCTGTTCCATTGATCCATATGCCTATTCTTGTACCAATACCAGGCTGTTTTGATTATTGTAGCCTAATAGTAAAGTTTAAAGTCTGAAAGTGTGATACCTCCTGCTTCGTTTCTTTTGCTGAGGATTGTTTTGGCTATTCATGGTCATTTATGTTTACATATGAATTTCTGTACTGTCATTTCCAGGTCTGAGAAGAGTGATGTTGGTAACTTAATGGGTATTGAGTTGAATCTGTAGATTGCCTTTGGTAGGATGGACGTCTTAACAATGTTGACTCTTCCAAGCCATGAACATGGAATATTTTTCCCTTTGTGTCTTCTTGGATTTCTTTGGGCAATGTTTTGTAGCTTTCATTGTAAAGGTCTTTCACTTATCTGGTTGGGGAAATGCTGAGGCATTTCATTTTGTGTGTGTGTGTGTGTGTGTGGCTATTGTGAATGGGATTGTGCTTTTTATTTGGTTCTCTGTCTGCTTGTTGTTGGCGTATAAGAATGTGACAGTATTTTGCACATTTATTTTGTACCCCTGGAGACTTTGCCAAAGTTCTTTATCAGTGGCAGCAAGTTTTTTACAGATTCCTTTGGATTTTCAAGGTATAGGAACATATCATTGGCAAAGAGGAATAACTTAACTTCTTCTTTTCCTATTTGGGTACCCCTGATTTCCTTCTCTTGTCTAATTGCTCTAGCTAGGCCTTCCAACACAATGTTGAACAAGACGGGTGAGAGTGGGCAACCCTGTCTCAGTCCAGTTTTCAGGGAAATATCATGTAGTATTTAGAATAAAAGAGTTAGCTCTTCTCCACTTGACACTTATTTGACCAACGTGGGGTATGACTTTTAGTTCTAGGGCTATACTTTCAAAGTGAAATAGAAAAGTTTTTATAGAAAGATAATTTTTGAAAAAATAGTACCTAACTATAAAAAGTAAACACAGCATAGAGTTAGAGTTCAGATTCATAAAGAAAGGTCCAAGACACTTTAGACCTTTTTGGAGAAAAACTAGCTTTGGTAATGGAAACTTGAGAAAGAAATTATGTAATGATTTGTTATTGGTAAAGAGTTTATGTTAAAAAAAAAGGAACAACACAAGTGTATGTTGTGTATCAATAACGCTTTAGTCACTTTATGTCCCTAAAACTTAGCTAGGTACTTGAGAAGCAATTATTGAATGATACATATCTCTACTCTCAAAGAGTGCCCACTTTATTAAACTTGATTTGAGTACTTTGTTAACCTATGTAACAGGATTAATATTTGCTTAATGTAATTGTGATACCCTATCTGTTCATTTAGTTTTCATAAATACCTAATATACTCCCAGATAATAATCTTAAACATTAATAAAAGCATTTTAAAGTACAATATTATTTTTATGACACTTCTTTGGTTAGTATCAGATTTACTAGTTTCTTGTTTGACCTTGAGATCTCTAATGAGGTATTATACAATATGACTAAAAATCTTTGGAATTTACAGCTTAAGGTCAAGTTTAATTGGAGGACTTTATAACAATAGTCTTGGCAATAGAACCTAAGCAGAAATTAGAGCTGTGTTTTTGCATACAGTTCCCTTAAAGTTATACCTGTGCTTAACTAAAATTCTAGAGTTGCCTGAATAAGGAGAATCTATGGGACATTTCTGAAAATAACAGAATGAAATATTAGCGATGAAAGCCATCTAAAGAGACGTTTTGTTAATTCTCAATTTTTTTTTTAGTTGGAGTCTCACTCGGTCACCCAGACTGGAGTGCAGTGGCCGCTCCCGGCTACCGCAGCCTCACCTGCTGGGCTCCAGC